CCCCCCCCCGCCCCCCCCCCCAAGGTCGGCACCCCTGACCACCGGACTGCCCACCCCTCTTTCACCCACGCTTACCTGCAAGAAAATAATGAGCTCGTCCTCCTCAGTGGTGTAGCCACCCTTGCGTACCGCAGGATCGAGATGGTGGCACCACCGTTCACGGCATTGCTTGGAAGTCCTTCCGTCCATAAACGACGCCACCTAATCCGAGGGGCGCGGGCGGTTGGGTGAGGAGGGCGAGGGGGAGGGGGAGGGGGAGGGGGGGGGGGGCAGGGAGCCGATGGAATCACTCAGTCCAGTTGTGCCCGTCTTGGGGTCGTGGAGGGCCAGCCACCCTTTGACCCGTGTGTTCGTCGCACCCAACGGAAGGGTCGTCGGCGTTGGCTGCTTCGATGACTGGTGGGAAAAGGGTACTGATTGCATAGCTATGGCTTTGCGAGGCCAGAGCGCATGCAGCAGACACCGGAACAGTACGGCCGCAAAGTCTCAATCGCGGACACGCTCAACATCCACGAACGACCTCGCGATGGATATCGAGGGGCGCACGTAGGCCCAGGGGGGTGTCCAACACGAAACGGCAAGGTCAGAGCAAAAAAGCGCACATCCCCTTCCTCTATTGCATCGACGGCGATTTAGTGGAATGCCGCGCAAAAAATCATGGCCATCTACGTGCATCCCCATGCTGGAAAATCGACCCTGTCAACATGCTGCTTGGTATGTTCGGCAGGGGACGGCGTGACAATGGTTACCTGTCCCCAGTTACGGAACCCCTTCTCCACCAGTCCCACCAGCCGGTCATCCTCTTCGGCGCTCCACTGCCCCTTGACAAGCCCCGGCTTTAGAACCTGCGATCCGCCGGGCCGCCGTGGGAGGCGCACAGGGAAGAAACAAATACAAAAATAAAACCAACAGATCACGCGGCAGAAACAGGGGTGTCGATCTCAAATCTATCACGAGGTGCGAGACATGTTTTCCCGATTGTACAACAAACATCCACGGCGACTAGACAAGTAAATCAATGATGGCGCGGAGTACACGGGGCGCTACTGGCCACCGAAATACTCTTCCATCGCAGACAACATTCCGCATGCGGAAAACCTATGCCGGACTCCTACCTGTGCAAGAGATGAATTCGTGTTCTAAGAAAAAAATAGCCCCGCGATACAACCACACTCGTGTCTGTAAATATGCAAAAACACACCAGACGTTTCGGACCAAACCAGCACACACCTTCTTCCACCGCTGCAAGCACTGAACGTGATTGCGTGTCTGCACCAGACTAGCGATGTCCTTCCAACGCGCTTCAGAGAACTGCTTGCCGTACCGGATACATGTTGAGGAGCATCGTCGTGCAAGGCCGCCGGGCGAGCGGTTTTAGGGAAAAAAAAATCAGTACGTAACCCATTCTTGCCACGAACCACAAGAGAAAAAATACTCCACACGCGCAGGCCGTCCTTCTTGCTGTATGTAGTTTGGCGGCACAAAATAAGTTATAGGGGCTACCGCATGTCCAGGCCGCAACTCAACACTACAGCTGTACTGCTGTAGAGCAACATGAAGCAGTCGTCCTTCCGTGCACCAAGAGTACAAGCGTAGGGTGTCTGTTTCATGAGTGCCGGAATTGTGCGTGTCATCGCACCCCCGTGTTTGCGTTTTTCTGTACATGGCGTATTTCTCCGCAACAAGGGAGGTATCACCTCCGGAAAGGATGGTTTTGGACACATCTCGTCGAGCGCTTCCCGGAGAGGTATCAGTTGGTGGTCGCACCCTCCTAGCTGTGGAGAAAGCTATAGAAAAACCCTAACACGGGGGTGGGATAAAACGCACACTTCCGGTAACCACGAGGACTCACGTGGTCCAACGAGAGTCCTACGACTACGGTATTATCTCGAAAAACACATGTGTTCTCGATCGCTGAACACATTTTATACAAGGTAACAAAAGTTCGGGGCACAACTCCTCGTGTAGAGGTGAAGGTACACGGCCTCAGTGACCTTAAACATTTTTGCAATTTCGTTATCATAGACAAGAATTCGAATTCGAAATACACAACCAAAATGAAAAATTCTTTGTTTCCCTCGTTCCCTGCCGTATAATAGCTGGTAGTCCGGTCCAGCAAGTGAAAAAAAAAAACTCGTTCGAATATTTGTTTGTATACTTCGAATACGGATTACGAATCGGACATAAAAAAACACAAGTACGCCCTGCAGAAAGAATAACCCCTCTGGTGTGCGGATGAAAGGGGAGAGAGAGACCTGGCGTCGGTTCTGTCCCTGTGCACGATACAGGATTTGTGATCATGACATAAGAAACAGAAGCTTTACTTAGAGATAGACGCACAGATCGGCTCAAACGTTTTCCGTGCCTCACTTGCTAACGTCTAATTCCATGGTAGTGCGCAATGCACACGAACGGTATGTAGTCGTGACATGCGTGCCCGCGCGGTTCTTTGAAATGAAGGCACCACGTGAGCATAACATTACAATTGCACACTTCCGTGCTGGGCGCCCCTGTCGTGCCTGGGCGGTACAACTGTCCTACGTTCTTTCGGAATCACTCCAGCAGTGACACGCTGCCACCAGCACACGCAACAGACACATACTACACTGCACACGCAGAAACCCCGCAAAGCTCCTTCCTCCGCTCTCTCGCACCAAACTCCCCCGCCCCCTCCCCACCGGGATCACACAGCAGAGACGGAATATGTGTTGGGGAAGATCCTGCACAAGCCTTGGTGCGACCTACAGCTGGCCACGTTTACACCACATGTGTTGCATGTTTCTGGACAAATGACACACTTGCAGTGCCATATGGGGGGGTCGGGAAAAGGCCCGGCGAAAAAACTACAAAAATCAAACCGGGAAGAAAAATGCGAGAAAAAGGGCGGCAACGGGCGCACCGCCTGCCGACGGCAACAACAGTCATTCGCGAGCAGTATAGAGCAGGACATAGAGAGATCTGCAACGCACAGCAGCACTGCTGTTGTTAGCTTCATCGATGGCGAAAAAGAAACATCGACCTTTACAAACGTGATCGACGTGGGTCTACAGCAGCAGCACGTAGCATGTGCCAGCATAAACCAAAACCACCTTCCACGTTATACTCCTATGTAAATAGATCCGGCAGCTTTTCTCGCTGGCTCTCCCGCCGCGGATATGCACACGCACGCAGGATGAGGGAGAGAGCAATCCGGTATAACATATTTCAACTCACCCTGACAACAGCGTCGCGGAGCCTACGATCCTCCTCGGCACTCCACTTGACGGGCTTATTGCGCTTGAGCCTTGGGTTATCTAATCCCCCTCCAGCGGCTGCGGCTGCGGCTGCGGCTGCAGTTGCTGCTACTGCGGCGGCGGAGGTGTCATCGTTGTTGCCGTTTTGATGGTGTGGCGGTTGCTGATGATGTTGTTGGGGCTGCTGGTGCTGGTGCTGTTGGTGCTGCAGAGGCGGCCAGCCGTGGTGCCGGTGCTGGCCGTGCGAGCCGCCCAAGTCGGGGTCTCGCCGACCCCCGCCGACCCTATCGACACCCTCGATGGGAGACCCCAGCTGGCGGAAGAGCTGCTGCTGTGTCGGCTGCGGCTCCGTCGCCTCCGTCTTAGCTTGGTAGCCCTGACGTTTCGTGGACATCGTCGCGCCGGCTCTAACGCACATATTAGAGGATCGCGTTTCGTCAGGCGACAGCGCTTGGTATTCGCGAGTAAACTCGCTCCAAACCGCGGGCAAAACCCCGCCGGGAGACACAGTACGGAGAATCCTGCTGCTGGTTTCCAGGCTCATATGTGTGGCCCTCACCACACGCCCCCTCTCTCTCCCTGCTTGCGTCGCTGTCCGCCTCCTGCGGTCAAGCTGAAGGCGCGTGTGGACGCAGAGACACGAGCAGAAAAAAATCAGATAGAAGGGTGTGAAAAGGTCAACTTACCGGAGCAAAAAGGCCAACATTCCAAAACGAGTTTTTAGCTAATCCTGTTGGTTTCTCTGTCCTGCTCTTGATGCCCCCGAGCACGAGGGCTCACCGAAGCCGGGGAGGATGGAACAGGACGGCGGCGACACACGCCGGAGGTCATGCACACTGGGCTGGTTGGCGGCATGCCCCTAGACTCGGTAAAAGACCATTTGGATTCAGTGCCACGTCGGCACTATCCGGCACTATCCCCTTGACAAAAAATTGAAAGCGCAAAAACGACTCGAACGTGGGGTGCGACGGAGAGGGAGAGAGCGACAACCCAGCCTCACCTTGGCCCATACAATACTCTCTGCGCTGGTGGCTGTCTCGGAGATGTCTCGGTTTTTCTGGCGCTGACCTCGAGCACCCGTTGAGCGCGTCGCCTGAGGTGTTCTTGCAGGCGCGGGTCGTGCTGGATGCGTTTGTCAGTACCGCAAAGAGCGGGACGAGG